CTCTTTGACTTGAGATCTACCTCTGTGTAGATCTGTTTATTATTTCATGTTCAGCTTCTATGGACACGTAAGCTTTGTTTATTTCACCGATTTTAGACCCATCTCTTTTGACGCATCGATGATGGCTTTCCTATTTAGTCCTTTTGTGAGAGGATCTGCAATATTCCTCTCGGACTTCACATACTCTAATGTGAGTACACCACTCACAATCAACTGCCTTACAGACTCATGTCTGACTCTTATGTGCCTTCTCTTTCCATTATAGGCACTATTCTTTGCCACACATATAGCAGTTTGTGAATCACAATGTATGGGCATTGATAGTGTAGAACAACCCCCACAACGGCACGTCTACCAATAGGTTTCTCAGCCACTCGACTTCTTGCCCAGCTAGATCAAGAGCTATAAACCCAGCCTTCATCGTTGATCTAGCTATACATTATTGCTTTGTGGATTTCCACGATATAGCCGCTCCACCCATGGTAAACACATACCCACTGGTAGAGCTCACATCATCACTGTCATTTACCCAGTTAGCATCACAGTACCCCTCTAGGGCTGCAGGGAAAGCAGTATAATGCAATCCCTAGTCGACTATGCCCCTTAGGTAGCGTAACACTCTCCTCAGTGCATGCCAATGAGCGTCATTCGGGTTATGAGTGTATCAACCGAGTTTATTTACTGCAAGAGAAATACCAGGTTTGGTATAGTTCATTAAGAACATCAGACTCCTAATTATTTTTGCGTATTTTTCTTGAGACACACATGTCTCTGTATTTTTTGATAGTTTCGCACTCGCATCATATGGATTTTGTGTCGGAGTCACCTCAAAGCTATCAAATTTCTTTAATAGCTTCTCTGTGTAGTGACTCTATGATAACTTGTAGCCATCTTCCTCTTTAATCAAACTTTCACACCAAGTATCACATTGGCTTCCCACATATCATTCATATCAAACTTATCACATAGAGACCTTTTGGTATCTTATATTGCATTTATGTTTGAACTTAAAATTAACATGTCGTTTACATAAATGCATATAAGCACAGTGCTGGACTAAATCTCCTTCGAGTACAAGCAAGCATCCGATCTGTTTACCGAGTAACCCAAATCTAACAGTGTTTTATGAAATTTCTCATACCACTGTTTGGGAGCTTGTTTTAGTCCGTACAAAGATTTTATAAGTCTACATACATTTCCTTCTTGCCCTAGAGCAATGCAGCTAGGTGGTTGATCCAGATAGATTTCTTCCTCCAGGTCCCCATTTAGAAAAGCTGTTTTCACATCCATTTGATGGATTCCCCACTTGTGGGATGAGACCAAGGAAAACAACACACGTATTGTGGCTATTTTGGTCACGGGTGAATACGTGCAGAAGTAGTCTTCACCAAACTTCTGTTTATACCCCTTAGCGACAAGCCTAGCCTTGAACCTTTCGATTGACCTGTCTAGTCTTACTTTTCGTTTAAAGATCTATTTGCAGCCAATTAGTTTGGCCCTTTGGTAGATCTATCACTTCCTAAGTATGATTAGACTTAATTGAGTCTAACTCACTTTGGATGGCTTCTTTCCAAAGTACAGCATCAACCGAGCGCATAGCAGCCTCAAAGGACTTTGGTTCCTCTTCTAAGATTAGCTGACATACAAACTGATCAGAAATCTCATTAACGTCATTCAGCTCAGATATGTATGTAATAAAATCAGGCTTAAAACTCGTTTTAGTTATTTGTCTCTTGCTCCTTCTAGGCTCTTCTGGCTCATTCTCAGTTTGAGAAGGAGGAAACAGTGAGGAAGTGCATCTTTCTGAGCTAGTTGGAGCTAGTTTTAGTGGGAAGACATGTTCGAAGAACTCATCCTCTCGTGCCTCGCACATAGAGCGACTGTCTAGGTACATAAACTTGTATGCGGCACTATTTTCTACATACCCCACGAAAATTGCATCTAGAGTTTTAGACCCAATGTTAGATCTCTTAAAAGATGGAAGCCCTATCTTTGCTAAGCACCCCCACACTTTGAAGTATTTTAGGTTTGGAGCATAA